GCTTGACAGGGTTCAGGATAACTTTCTTTTCAACAGAAGATTAAACTAGATGACCTCCAGACATCCCTTCCAATCTAGACTTTTCTATGATTTTATTCTATGATTTTGGAATGCAATGGACTGCTGAAAACCCCATTAGGCTACATTTAATTGTCACTTTGAGCAAACAAGTTAAGAATCTCAACTCTTCTTAACCAAACTGGTTGATATAAAGTGATAGAAACACCAAACTGGTGAGTAAACAGGCACCAGTAATCTGTTCCTATTACACATTAATTGAAGGGGCATGAATCTGATGCTACGTATATGAATGACTGATGGTATTTCTACATGCAAAATAAAATAGTGCTGGTCCTCTCCATTACTTTAAAGTACACCAGGCTACCTCAAAACATATCTGGGGCCAAATGCCAAATTCAACCTTTACTTTCCACCAGGAGGAAAGCACAGTTATACCAGCAATGAAGCTGAGCCCTACCTTTTGTCTACTGGTATAATTTTTGTCCTTCTGATAACTGTTAATTTATATTATATTAGTAAGACACTTGGAGTTGCTTTTTTTCCGATGCATACTGAGATGGAACTCAGAGAGGCTTACATTACTGTTTGCTGTTTCATGGTAAACCTATACACCTGACCTTAATGCCTAGCACAGCACCATGTTCTGTGCTAGGCATTAGCACAGCAGTCTAAAAGTTTTCTCACACTTGTCAGTACTTTGTGACTGATCTTAGCAACCTGGTTGATGATTGAAAATAATTCACTTAGAGACTGAAATGATTTCCTGAAAGAGTTAATTTTAAAAAATTGTATTAAGGTGAAGATTCATGGACAAGACACAGCTTTCCATGGTAGGCAGAGCGAGCTGTTCAGCCTTTTAGGAATATAGCCATGTAAATGTTTTATTCATGTCAGTTATTCACATAAGTGGGTTTCACTTTAGTGTGTAACACAGCCAGCTGGTTTGCTTCTTTTAAACTCTGATTTCACATTCACTTCATATTGCTACACCCCCTTCAGAGATATTTATGGAAATTTCACAGCAAGTTGTCTCAAGCTTATGTGCTATTAAGATTCCATTCTGGGGTGTTTACTGCATTAGATTTATAACATATAGATTTATGGACTCAGCTACTTGATGGCCCCATAAAGCACACTGGAATTGAAGGTAACTAGTAATTAAAATAATATTTGATTGTCCTTAGCATATTGTAAAACTGCTGTGGATATAAACAGAGCCATTGCAGCTTCTACACGGCCTCATAGCCTAGCTGCATAATAAGGAAACTGACAATTCACATATAAGATCAGTTTAATTGTGGCTACACTTTGGGAATTACCACATGTTTTTCTATCTGTTTGTGTACATGGAAGTAGGCCAGTGCGGAAATACTCTTAAGGCCCCCATGGCTTTGGCTGTTCTAAACACCAAAGAATGAAAGGATTGAAATTCACAGCCAAAGAGAACAAGAAGGTTACAGTATTAGTACCAGGACTGTGAAGTATCAACTATTCTGCTAATCTCCATTTAAACAATTAGATCAAATCCTACTAAAAAGGATCAGCTGATAAGATGCACCTCAAGGTAAGTTCCTCACAGAAAAGGGAATGTTGAGTAAAATTTTCACCTTGAAATCTCTACCATTCAATGAAAGAAACAAGGGACTTAATGCAACCCCTGCTCCTTGCTCTAAATAGTTAACTTTCTCAGATTGCCTTCATACACATTACAAAGTGTAGTAAGACGTATGCATTTTCAAGCATGCAAAAAGCCTGGCTTACGCTCTGCAAAGGCATTTGGAAAGAGCGATGAAAGCAAAATAAGGAAATAGTGAAAATCACTTACCATGATGTCTTATTGCAATGCTCAGTTAATTCCATTCTGATGTACTGCATTGAGAGCTCTTAACACCACTTCAGTGTGGTGGCTCTATTCAGAAGAATAGAAGTTTTCAGGCAGTGGTCATGAAGGGTGATTTCATACCCTTCTCTGCAACTAAAATGGATAGATTTTCTTTGTCTGCTGCATAAAAACTATCATGTAGGACTTTACAGGACAGATTACAGAAGGCAACAACGATGGAAAACCTGGAGCACTATCACTTGTAATGCTAGGAGCACATTAAGAAGAGGAAAAAACATTCATAAGTCATCAACAATCAAAGATCAGACAGGCAAAAATTCCTGAAAAACCTTTTTCATGTGAACGACTCAAGTCAAAGCTGTAGTTTCAGCAAGTAGGGATAACATGCAAAACACCTGATGCTTTCTGCAAATTAGACTTCCACCATTTAGACTTGCTGAGATTCTACTGTTGCTAATAAGCATCTTTTTGTCACATCTGCAATAGTTCAGCATCCAAGTGCAGAACTCAAAAGAAATTTCTTGCACTTATTCAGCAAATCTAGCTTTCTGCTGAGTCAAGATAAGTACTTGTATGACAAGCACAGTAACAGAACCAGGGAAAAAAAAAAGATAGTGAGATTTCTTCTGTTCTGCTGCTAAATTTTGTTTGCTATTATTGCTAGATTATACTATCTTCAAGCTCAGTTTCCAATTACGCAGCTGTAAACCTAGAGTATTGAGAGTGTTTTACCCAGAAGAGAATCCAGCATCCACCTTAACTTTCCATCTGTCCTATAATGGCTCCCTGTATCAACAGATGGAGACCAAGGGAACTGTGCTCTATTTTAATAGTCACTCTTGTATTTATTTCAATTGCTATGAAATTGGCTTTTAATTCACTTTCATTTCCTAAGTTATGTTTCTACAATTTATTTTTTTTTTATAAATCCCATGTAGTAACCTACATCTGTCTGAAAATAAAAGCCACCTTTTGATTAGAGCTGGAATGCAGTATCATATACAGTGTGTTTGGAAACCTCTGCAGAAAAAAACCTCATGTCTGCTTTAATACATCTAGCTCAAGGCACCACGGGGTGAGTCAAGGACAACAAAGCAGTATGCCTGAAAAAAAGAAAAGTCCCTGCTTTTCTTGGCTAGCTAATATATAAACTTCAATGTTATTCACATGACTTTTATAAGAGTTTGGGATAAAAGTAATTTTATCTCACTGCAAAGATTTATTTGTTGCCCTTCCTGTCTTTTAGGAGACTGTAGAAGGCTACCTGCAAAATAGTGTCTTCTGGGCACCTATAAGAATTAAACACTATGCAAATTTCAGCAGCTAGAATTACTATCTATTAATTAAACAATGACTTATGATATATTGGAATAGAGATGAATTTTATTTTTCACCAATTGTCTCAATCTTTTAGAGGAATAATTAAAAAAAACCTGTTATATGAATTATTTTTCACTATATCCTTGAAAAAACAGCATACTGTCCAATTCACTTCCCGAAGCTTCTGGGATGTACAACATGAGCTACTTTGTTTGCATGCATTTGTCCTCCAGAATTGAAGAGAATTCAATTGGAAAAAAAAAAAAAAAAATCTTTTCTATAGTATGCAACAAATTCCTATAGTTTTTATCAAGTACGTCTTTGTAAAAAAGCTTTCAATTCTCTACCTGCAAGACCTTAGCAGGATATAAACCACACTTCAAATTTGGTTAAAAAATTATATATTTTTTAAATTTTTTTTTTGTAAATAATGAATTTGCACTGCATTTTTAATTCTAGTCTTTCAGAAAAATGATCACTAAGGAAATCTTATAGTTAAGGAAAGCCAAAAAGCAAGTAACAAAGGGCCCAAGCTTAGTGCTTTTTTTTTTTTTTTTTTTTACCACCCCCAGATAATTAAATCTTCAAATGATTACTGCTTTTAAAGTTTTTGTAGAGGTTTTCTTTATGCTTTAGACACTGTGTTATTGTAACATCTTACCAATGTCACCTTTCCTCTAGTCTCTGGAGAGTTTTGAAAAATTGGTTGCAATATCTTCTAAAAAAAAAAAAAAATCACAGATAACTCCCGATACAAACATAGTTTTCTGTAATTTTTTTGTAGGGGTCTATAATAACTGCTCAATGTTGCAATGTCTTATCCTGAACACCAGTCAGTAAAATTCACTATTAGTTTCTATAAGTATTTCTAATAAACCAGCTATGAAAAGTATGGCTTTATCTTTGCCAAACCCTTGAAGATGTAGAAAGCAAACCCTATGGAAACCAGAGGTATAATTTTCATGGGGTACAAATCAAGAACAAAACCCAGTATATATGAAGAATATGAGAGAAGGTTTTTGCACCTGGTCCAGCCTCACTGGCATTATCAATGGAATAAATTTGCTTAACCTGCAGGCAGTGATACTGTGAAATGTCAATATTCTGTGATACTGAAGTTCGTAAGCTTTCATTTAGTATCTTAAGTGTAAAGTCTGGGGTATAATGACTTTTATTCTAAATGAATGGTATGGCAGTTGGAAATCTCTTTATCATTTTACAAATGTAACTAAATGCCTTCAGTCCAGTTCCTTCACCCTCTTGCAGCAACAGAACAACTTATTCCCACACAAGGGAGCAGGATATGACATAAAAAAAAAAAAACATCAGTAACTTCAGATTTAGGTGAAACCAGAGCATTGCCTTCTAAAAATCTAAAAGAATTCAAAGAATGCTTCCATTTCCCCAATATATAAGGGTATTTTTAAAAATAGATATTCATACTTGTAAACTATTTAGGGGATGAGTTGAGTTTTTTTTCCCCTCTTCTCTCCTGGGTCCATTATAGTGTCAAACACGTAACTGGGCAAGCTCTCAACATTGTAGACTAGGGTTTTCAAAGACATTTGAAGGACTACGAGACCCAGTTCTCACTGAGTTTCAGTTGGATTTGTGACTAAGCCCTCTATGACTCTCTGGACAGTGAAGTCACAAAAAGCAGAAAAGAACAAGTGATGCTGGTAATAAAGATGTTTATAAAACATATGACATCTTTTGTTATTTTATTCATTTTCTGACTAATTCTGCTTTTAAAAATGTGTTTAGGTTGATGTGCTTTTATTCCAACTCTGACCCATTTTCCCCCGGAACTACTCACTTGATAAAGTATTTGATTCCATCTGCTGTATAAGCTTCTTCCCATCCATAAGGCAGACCTAAGATGAAATAAAGAAATAAAATCTCTCAAAGCTTAGGTGACAGTATGAACATACAGTTTTGAAATGGTGAAAGCTAGAATGCTGTAATTTCAAATCATGTCATAAAAAGTTTATAAATGAATTTTCGCTATTTTTGTAATAGATAGCAATAAACCCAATACAATTTAATAAATATTTGCTGTGCTACAAACATATAAACCATTTGATGATACTTTTATTATTTGCATTTCTTTTGCAGAAGCTGACAGTCTGGTCAAATTAGAGTGTAGCAGTTCAAAAATAGTTAACTTTTAATTGTAATTTACACCTACATGAAGTAACCAAAAAACCCCTTAAGTCTGTGGTGTGCTGAGGTCTTTTTCACTGTTTTTACAGCTATTACATACCGATGCTAATAACTGTATGAGGCAGAAATCTGGGCAGAATGAACTCCTCTGCTGCTTGGTTTATCACCAGCTTCTATGTTTATATAGAATTCTTCGGGAATTTAGACACAAACTCCAAGACACTTAGAGACAGACTCAGAGAAAACACATACAGATATTTGTATGTATACCTTTCTATGTCTACATATCCTGACAAAGGTTAATTTACTGAATGTATTGCTTAATTTTGTGATTTACACTAATGTTTCTGGGAGTTAAAAATTTTAACACTGCAACATTTAGCATAAATTAAAATAAATAATTCTGAAAGTGTGCCTTTTTCCATGCACTAAGAAACTGTTCTCTTTTCCCCTTTTGTAATTACCTTAAATTATCTTAAAAACTCAATCTTGGACTTTGTTGTTAGTTTGAAAGTCCCATAGATGAATGATGACTAATACTTTTAGTAGGGTACTATACTATAGCATTTTAAAAATTCAGTTTTCATAGGAGAGCTTCACCTTTTTTATTACTACTTTTTCAAAACCAAACCTTTGCAGAGTCTGAAAATTGATGGAGAAAGAAGCATCAGTCAGTGTGCAAAAATGTTGCTGGTATATGCTTTTGCGATACTGTACTGTAATGTCTATAAAGGCAAGTGCAAGGTCCTCCCTTGTTTTGGGCACTAGAAATATATATAAAATTAAAATTGCAAGAAAAAGCTTTCTGCAAGTGCTTTAGCTTAAAAGTCATCTTGAAATGTTGGTGTCTAAGGAGTTAAACTATTTTTGTTCAAGTCACAGTATATCTCAAAGATCAGCTCATTAGAACCATCTGTGAGCCTGCTTTAGATTTAAAACTTTAATTTGGAAAATGTGCTGGACTGCACGCACCGTATGATCTTTGAAAGCTGTTTCATACCAAGGCATGCCCTTTGTCTCTACCGTGGTCCTTACTTCTGAAAAATCTGGGAGGGGTAACTTCAGTTCTCAAAGATAAAGAGAGTTCATTACAGCTACTGAATCACGACTTGGCACAGTGAAGCAGGTACAGACCATCTGGGAAGCAATTATACCTGTAGGCACCAAGTGAAGAGCAACAAGTAAGTCTACAAAAACTCCAGAATTGAGGAACTTGGGAACTGGTAATTGTAGAACAGCACTGTTACTGTTTAGTACAGCTTGAAAAGCAAAAAGCACATTGGATTAATTTTTTTTTTCCTTTAACTTCTACCCCATACTAGGCACTTATCTCAGGCTTCTTCCATTTTCAATTTAGCAGAGATCTATACAATCTGTTCCTCAAACATACCACCTACTACCTTTGAGAGAGAATAATCCACAGCTACTTCCCTTTAAATACAAGGTAGTTGCTGTATAACAGTTTTCAGGCTCTGACTCCTATGAAAGAAGGAAGAAAAGGATGTTTTAAATTATAAATATGCTAGACATGATCCCTAGTTCTTCCTTCCTCTCCCATAAAAGATGGGACCTTTATTCAACATGGACATTTTCTGATTATTTAAATGACAACAGGATTCATCCTTCAATCGCTTCCATCTGCCCCAGCCTTTCCTCATTCCTGCATGCAACATGCACATCCCAAATAAATGACAACAGATTTGCTCAATTATGAATAAAACCCTCAGCATCTGCTCTGTGCTCACACGGATCATCACACCTGTTTCATTCATCAGGGATGATTACACTTTTTTCACTAGTAATTTAACTAAAATGATTTATTTTTTTTTCTCCTCTAAATGAAGAACAGCACGTAGGTAGCAATAGGTAGCAATGATAACTCATGCTCTGTATTCTTTTCTTAACCATGAAATACTATGCTTTTCAAAAACATGTAATACATTTGTCACCTATAAATAAGACTCTGTAGATATCTCCACAGCTTTATTTGCCTTTTTGACTTTATATGCATTAGATTGTATATCCTGTCCACTCCTTATATGCCTCAAAGTTCCACCTATATCAGTAGGGTTTTTAATGCCTTTATTTTCCACATTTTTACTCT